GACGGTTGTTACCAAGGACTCCCCATAAAGGTTGTACCAATATACACTCCCACCCACAGGTATCAGAGTTCCTGTTTCCCCACACCTCAGAGTAGGTTTGTTTTCTTAGTGTATTTAAATAAGAAAAAACAAAAGGGAGGGATGCAGAAGAAAGTGTTATCTAGAACTGTCTCCTGTTCATCATTCTACTTGAGTGCTTAGAAAGCACCTAGCCAATGCGGCCTGACCTTCTGATGGGACACAATTGGGCAAGTGACAGATTTCACTAGAGGTAGTGACACACCCATGACCACCCCAACACACCTTCCTCATTCAATTAGTTCTCAGCTTAGCACCACGGACCAGCCCCAACTCTGATTGACCTGTGTAGGGTGGTAACCGGAAAGTTAAACAACTTTGGTTTTCCTGAAGACTGACAAATTGTTCTCCAGCCAAACAAGCTACTTCAGAGTTGGTCTCACAAAGTTCTCTACACACATGAGCTGGCTCGCAAAGCAGCAGGCTCCCTTGATAAGCAGTTCCCAAAATATCCAGAAAACACTTCAGAGTTTTCCACTGACCTACGCCATCAGCAAACTCTCAGAACACCTTGAATGAGTGGCCCCCTACTCCAAACCTAGTGGGGCAAAACCTCTTGTAAAGAATTCATTTGGGTAACATTGAGTGATACGCTGTACGTGTAGTTTGTTGTATTGTTATTTTCATAACCTTAAAGTGAGCAAAACTTGAGATCCTTTGAGAATATCATAATTGCCGTTTCTCCGTTACACGAAATAATTGCTATTTCATAGGAAAATATATTTTCCTACCCACTCCAGTAACCTCTACTACCATGCTATATCCTTCAAGGCATTTTTACATATGATTTCCATTTATCTCCTTTTCAGCCTTAAGTATTCCCAAGCATCAACTGATACAAAAATCAACTTCATTGTAGCATAAAGCACATATAACAAAGAAATCCCATTTAACTCATTTCCATGAGTTTTGCCACATGTATACACCTATGTAACCACCATGATCGGGTTCTTTAAAAAGAGATAGCTAGGCCAGCGCGGTGGCTCACGCCTGTAATCCTATCGCTCTGGGCCGAGGCGGGAGGATCGCTTGAGCTCAGGAGTTTGAGACCAGCCTGAGCAAGAGTGAGATCCTGTCTTTACTAGAAATAGAATTAAAAAAAAGAAAAAGGAGACAACCACATCATCCTGCTACAGCTATTTCACAGGCACCCACAGACCCCAGCCCTTGAAGTGCAAGAACTGTATGCACAGATCCCCTGGCAGGTGGCAAGACAACCTCTCTTGTCTGGCTTCCAGTGCCCAGGAGTTTATGGAGACAACGAACATATTTCATATTGCATTTCCAAACAACTACACTCATCGATGAGAGTTCTTCTCGAAACTATTATCTGCTCACCTCAAGCAACACAAAGTTAAAAGGCCATAGGCTTTTTTTTTTTTTTGCTTTTAGATATTTGTACATAGTCACCTTCTGTCCTGCTCATATTCACCCCCAGCCTAAAAGCCCTACTTCCTCCAAATGGTTCCCCAAAGTTTCCAGAACCCTCTCCCATCCTGCCCACCCCTCCTGAGACACTCGAGTTTGCTTCTTAAGGACTCAAGCAGCCCTTCTGCGTGGTTCGACCAAGGCAGGGCAGAGTCCTGGGGCAATTTCCTCCAAGATCTCTACTCAAATATTTGCTAAGTGCCCAGCATGTGCCAGGCACTTAAATATGAGTAAGACTCTGTACCTGCCCTCAGTAAGGTCACATAATTCCATGAATGCAGCTTAATTAACAATTTCAACAGTTGTTTGTTTCAGGGTCATGGCTCATGTTGAACTTGGAATTAATTGAAGTTCACATACATTGCAGTCAGGGTAGAATAATTTCTTCCAACCTAAGTTCAGGGCTTTAACAGATGTCCCTGTTAGCTTTTATTATTTTGATTTTTGCCTTATTCTAATAACCAACATAAGAACTCTGGGAAGATATTAACTATTATTAATATTAATACTATAGCAGTTAATACTTCATAGAAAAATAAAGGTGTTCTCTTATTTCTCCTCATTGAAATTAAAAACAGTTTCTGAGTTAAGGGTGATCTGAGTTAAGGGTGAATTAGTCTGTATGGTTCGACCTATGGTGATAAATATATTATTTAAAGAAAAGCCAGGCTGTGTTGTATTATTTCATGGCACTGTACAATGTATCTGTAAATGAGGGTGTATCTTCTCTTTTTTCTTTGTTTAATTTCTGGTTCTCTTCCTGGAAAACTCCCACTCACCCTTCAAAACCAAATGCAGATGGCACCACTTAGGTGAAGATTTCCAAGTCTCCTGCAGAGGAAGGAACTATCTCTCCTTCCTCTCTTTCACTCTCAGCTCATTACCAGACCACAAGGATGATGAGTCATTTACCCATTTTCATGTTGGGTGTTCAACCATCTCTGTTCACTGGGGACAGTGCCAGGTTTAGCACTAAAAATCCCAAGCCCTTGGAAACACCTCAATCCTTGACAAACCAGGAAAAAAGTCACACTACATGTCAGTGAGTGACTTTAATAAAATAGCCATCATTTATGAAGGGCCAAAGCCAAAACTTCACAAATAATTTTTCAAATTTAAGACAACACTAAAACTAGTTATGATGATCTCATTTTACAGAAAAAGAGGTGACCCGAGATCACATGGGGCACCTGGAATTGAATCTAGGTTTGCCCAGCTCTAAAAGCCTGTGCTCTGACCACTGCACCACTGTCTGGCCATTTTCGGGCTCAGTGGTTACTCCTCACACAGAGCTGCAATCAGTTCTATCATCCCTCCGTCACTCAGGGTCAGACAGCATGTGGTGCCGGTCCTCGCTAAGGCTATCGGGCATTTACAGGGGCCTATGTGATGGGAAGAACATATAAGAAGCACATTCATATGCACTGCTTTTAACTTAAGTTGCTTTCATGTAAGTGCCACTCGAAGAACATGCAGAAGATCTGAATGCCAACAAATTCAACATGCCTCCCATTCCCTCACAGAGATAACGTGGCCCCTCTCACAGCTTGACCATTTAAAACACTGGGCTGTGTGCAGAAGAGAAAATTCACCGGCTAGGTCAGACCCCAGCGCTGTCTTCAGGTGGCAGAGCAGAGAGGCAGCAGTTCTTAGCAAGCAGATGCTCCTTGGAGGTCAGCTTGCCATTTGTTGACACTGGAGTTTGGGAAACCTTCCTTACTTCAGCACCCACTGCATGGCATGGGTTACACTTTAAAATCTAAGTTCTCACTGTGTGCACTCACACGGTATTACTGTTTTCGGTTGTTTGTACACTGCTGCGGTTGTAACTCTGACCACCAGAAAGTACCCTCCATCTTCGGGTTCTGAACCTCTCTCTTTTCCTTAACCAAACACCAAATTCTCAATCCAGGACTGTAGGCATTGCAACCCCCCACCCCACCCCACCCCCCAGTTAAAAAAAGTGGAACTATGGGGACCCTTCCTCCCTATTTTAAATCAGAGGCCTCAGAGAGAGTTCTGGAGAGGACCCAGAGATTGATTTTAAGAACGCGGGGCCAAAGCGCCCCACCCCAGCGCTCCCGCCTCTGGCGCGCATTGTATGGAGATGCCGCCGCCTATCTCACAAGGTCGGTGCTGGGCTGGGTGCCGGTGGCACCTCCTCCCCTGGGGGCTGCCGTCTGGCTCCCCTGTGAGGGGAAGGGAGACACTAGGAGCCAGAGCCACAGGCCCAGCCTTGGCGCCACTTCCACGGTTAATCAGTTTACCTGGGATGTGTATTTGGCTGGACCCCGCTGGGGACCTTCCCTGGCCACCCAGGGCCAGGGGATAATTTAAAAGCTCTTCAAAGCCTGGACCCTTCTCGGAGCCAGCCCAAGACTGGAAACCTGGGAGGGACAGGCTTTACTCTTCAAAGTGAGAACAAATGCAAAAGGATTTAGCACTTAGTAGGTAGTCAATAAATGTTAACTTAGTTTCTCAAGTCCGGGCTTCCCCTCCCCCACAAGAGCCAGCTCAATCCAAACCCGATCCTCCGTCCCTCCCTGCAATTCCACAAGACCAGAAGTCGTTTGCATTTTGAACTAGCGGTGGCCACTTCCCTTTCTCCCCCAGCCTGGAGTACAGAGGCCCCTTCTCAGACCTCGGTTGGTTAATTTGTAAGTTGCGGGAAGTGGAAGGGGTTTGTCGTCCCTCCCGAGTCCCACATACGATGGAAATACTAAATTGCGTCCAACACGAGTGTTATTTCTAATCCCAGCCCTCGGGAGAAGAAGAGGCTCAACGCGTGGAAGCTGCTTGGGCATTGCAAAAAGCCCCGCTGGCTTTGCTGGGTTCCCGGACACCTGCCGGGCGTGTCCGACTGTCGCCGGCCAGCACGACGCTGCCACGCGGCCCTGCCCGCCGCACCCACGGTGCCGGTTCCAGGTCAACCCGTCTCGGTCGCGTCTCCTTTGCTCCCTCCCTCCTTTGTTCCTGGTGTGAGACCCCCGACTGGAAGATCATCTGCCACCCAGGATGGCAGATCCTCCAGCTGGGCGGCCAAATGGCGCAGAAGATTTCAGGTCCAAGCCCATGTAATCAGTTCCCCGAGCAGGGCTAGAGGGACGGCGAGGCGGAAATGGGCGCGGAAACCCCGAGATCGCCAGCGTCCGCCGGGATCCCGGGGTTGCCAATCTCCGCGGTCACCTACCGCCGGCGTGGCCCAGACAGACCTGACGCCGGGGGCTGCGCTCCGGCCGCGCCACGCTCTTTGCGAAGAGGATCTGGCGGGCAGGCCGGGCCTCACTCAGCAGAACCTGGTGTCCTCGGGCTGTGACCTTCACTGCCACCACGCCGCCGTCCCCACCAGTGTGTCTTCCCTGGAAACTCGATGTCATCAAGCACCTTCCCCAGACCCAACACTCATTTGTGAAAACTTAAACGCCCCAAACAGGGCACAAGACGGTCTCTGTTCCTGTCCCGCACTGACCCCAGAACTCGCGCTCAGTACTCACCGAGATTGGGGTGTCGGGCGGCGGGGTTGGCCCGGCCGGGCAGGCTGTGGAGGACGGGGCTGTCGAAGGGGCCGGCGGAGGCGGCGGCGGCCGCGGCCCAGGACGCGCCCACGTCAGCCATGTAGGCCGGGTAGGGGCTGGAGTAGGAGCCCGCGAAGCCGGCGCGCCCGTACTGCTCGCGGCCCGCCAGGCCCGCGCCCGCCGCCCCGCCGCCGCTGCTGTAGGCCGCGGCTTCCCGGGCGGCGGCGGCGGCTGCGGCGGCCGCCAGGGACCCTGTGGTCCCCGGGAAGGAGAAGCGCGGCGACACTGGCGGTGGGGTGTAGGCAGCTCCCTCGGCTCCCGCCTGGCTCCAGCCCGGGCTGCCCTGCTGGGTCCCGGGCCCCGCACCCGACGGGGCCGCACTCGCGCTGCCTCCCGAGGCCGCTCCGGACGCGGCGGCCCCGCCTCCGCCCTGGAGGTAGGACAGGCCCAGCACCGAGGAGGGCACCCGCGGCGTGGGCACGTAGACCGGCGAGGACGCAGCGCCCGCGCCATGCATGAAGGCGCCGGGGCCGCCGGTCTCGTAGGCCCCGGGCGGGGGGCCGTGGTTGGCGGCCATGGCCAGGCTCTGGTACATCGCCCCGCGAGCTTCCGAGTCCTCCCTCTCCCTCGCAGGTCAAGGAGCAAGGCGGGGGGAGAAAGCGACAATAATGTACGAGGGGAGGGACTGTCACGAAAACGAAGATCAAAAATCAAAGAGGAAAAAACCCAAGTCGCTCAAAAATATAAACGTTTTAAATCCAGCATTGAGCAAAAAGATTCTAGGCTCTTGATTAGCCAGGAAAATCCCAAATTGAAATTTTCGTTGCTCCGAAAGGGGGTACAGGATCAGCAGAATCCACCCAGGGCCTGGAGGTCCGGAGCGCCTGCGAGTGGCAGAAGATGCGGGGTAGAGCCTCGCAGCTGCGGGCGTGGGGCACAGGCCTTCGGGTCCCCCACTCGTCACGCCGGGAGGCCTTGGTCCCGCGCCAATCGCTGCGCACCGCCGTGGGGACACCCGCGACCACAGGCGCAGTCCGGCAGGCTGGCTCCAACGCCGAGGGCCGGGCCGGCTCCTTCCCGCCTGGCTGCAGCCGCCGTCCTAAAGGACGAATGACAAAAAGGGAGAGAGAGGTTCATCCCGGAGCCTTCGGAGCCCACTTTCCCCCTGGGTGGGGACTTCTCCTGCACTGCAAACGAAATTGCCACCTGGGAAGGGGACAGCTTCGGAGGCCTGAGCAGCGGGAAGCTGCGGTCTTTGTCTGGCCCCGGCTGCAGGGAAACTTGGGGTTTCCCGGTTCTTGGGCATGTAGTTATTGGCTGAGATCTATGTCAATTATTTTTGTATTGCTTGTCAGGAAGGACTTTAATTTTACCTTATTCTAAAAGCATATTTTTGCCACTAAGTCCAAGGGTTCAAGGTTTCTGCAGGAGTGCTTGGGACCCAAGAAGTCGCCCTCATCTCTGTTCCCTCACCTCTCCCCAAGCATTCCTGACCAAGACAGAACTTTAGATTGGTGGGGTGGAGGCAAGGACAAACTTTATACAAAACAGCACCCTAACAAAGTTTTGTTCCTAATCTTAAAAAAAAAAAAAACTAGAGTCTAAATGTTTATAAATGAGCAACGGAATCTGCTAAATCTCATGAAAAGGATTGTGAAACCCCTCACACATACTCCATACCACACGGTCATCAAATCAGACCAGCTGCAAGTTTCTTGCAAATAGTTATATTTTAGATATTTAGAAGATTGCATATGGGAACCAGAAAAGTGAGAGGAATATACAAGGTCACTTTACAGAACCAACTCACTGGACCATTCTAATTCATTGACTGGGTTTTTCGTATAGAATCACAAGTGCACCCATATGCAGAATCCCAACACCAGTGAAGACGCCTGGGGAAGAAGTTTGTAGGACTGCATTAAGTTTGTAGGAGGCTTCCAGCATCCTGTGTTCTGATGTTACCAGGCAATTTTTCTGATAAAAATAAGAGCTCCATTTTCTGAATCACCTGTTGTGCTCCAGGCCCTTTTCTCTACAACTCCACTAAGTAAAGGTGTTTCTTCTCATTTTACAAGAGGGAACTGAAGCATTGGAAAGTTTTGAAACTTGTCTAAGATCAAAGTACAATTGGAGAGGGGTGGGGGAGGGGACAGGATCTGTAGGGCTCCAGCGGTTTGAAGCTGTCCACTACACTCCCACTTTTCTCCTTAAGAAGAGGCAGCTACTCCTGACAATGGTTTCTTTTTTATTGTAATAGTAGACTTACAAGAAATCCGGGCTCTGCAACTTAAGGAATAAATTTAGACAGATTACTTAACCTCTCTGTGCCTCAGTTTCCTCATCTGCAAAATGCAAGTATTAAAGGTACGTATCTTGTAAAGTTATTGTCAGGATTATAAATTAATATATGTAAAGTACTTACAAAACTGTTATAATAGGGACAAAGAAAGTTCCAAGTAACAGTTGGCTATATTTCTAATACACCATAAAAAGTACCTCAGATGTAATATGTACCATAATAAATGATCATCTTTAGTATTGTAAAAATTCTGGAAATAGAATCTTCAATATACACTATATAATGCTTTTCACCATTTTTGCGACATCACTAGTAATGATAATGGAATTAATGGCATTGTATCATATAGCCAGATTGTTAGTCCTAAATGCTTTATTACTGGCTTTCAAAATATACAATAAATTACTGGTTTGGTGGTTATTTCATTCTAGCAAATTTGGTTAAAGGATGGATCCAAAAAAACTGACCTAAGGTCACCAACTTTTCCTTTTGAAAATAAAGGCAAAAAATTAACACCTCCTGGTAATCTCTGGGCTTCAATAGTAAATATATAGGGTTACCTTAATAAAATATCCAATATTTAACTTTTAAATCAGGTTGTCGACCTATTTCAGGTTGTATATTTTTTTTGTAATACTCAACTCTTGCCGTTCTAATTGATAATTTTTGTTTCCTCATGTAACTTCAAGAAAGGAGACTTAGAATTTTGTAATCCGTCTTCCAGTATACATACAGGTGCTAACTTGCAGACTTTAAAATATAAATGCTAAAAATGTTATAAATCCAACACTCATCTTTATCACGTTCTCTGCCTTTTCAAATGGCTGATACATTACCTGGGAGTTGGATCACTGCTGGAACAATAGAAGGTGGAGAAAATACCCCTCTATACCTTTCTGAAAAGACAAGAAATTATTCTCTCAGAACCACTCTGGCTGGGTTTCTGCCTGGCCCTGCAGTCCGCAGAGGGAGCCCAGCAGCTCCTGAGCCTAGCAGAAGTCTGGCCTGCGCCCTAGTTTTTCTCCTTCTCAATACTCATCCCAGCACACCCCAAAATCGAAGGCCCACAGGAAATGCTTTCTGTTTTCATGAGTTAGCCAACAGCCTTTTCCCGATTTACTTTGGAGAGCGGGAACGTTGGAAGCGCCCAAAATGTTCGCGTCGGTTTACAGGACGTTGTTTCTCCGTCGACTGGGCCAGCGCCTCGCTCTCGGCCTGCTGCGCGGAATACTGTGACACACCAGCCCGCAGCAATGGAGCTGGCCGCAGCCAGGGAGGAGACACGGAAGTGGGGGAGCATCACCCCATCACCCCAGTGAAGCCTTTCTTTCTTTAAAAACCCAAAATCTGCTCTTGGTTGCCTTCCTTTTCGGAGAAGCACAGGAAATACTTCCCCGAGGCCCTTCCCCAACCTTCCCGGCAGCGCGGGCCCTGCTGCCCGGGACGTCCACCGGCCGCCGGTCACTCGCCACCCTCTTCCCCAACCCAAGGCCCTCTCTTCCCTCTTCCTGGTGGCAGTTCACCACCTGGGCATCCCGCTCTCCCCAGAGTGAGCCCTCAGCCCAAAGCCAAGAGACATAACACCGTGGATCCGGGAGCTAGCGTTGGCCGGCGGAGGGACGTCCCGGCTCCGGGCCGGTTCCGGCTCTTGGCCAGTTTCACCCAGAAGCACGGAGGGTGGGTGGGGCTGCTCGCTTCGTTAGGGGCATTTGGCTGCCTGGACCCGAGTCAGGAAGGCAAGGAGGAGCCAGAAAAGGCAGAAACAGGCCTCTCAACAGTTACTCGGGACCTCGGAGCGTCTCGGGGCCCCCGAAGCCTTGGAGCGCTGCCCCCCACTGCACTTGGCGTCCGCTGAGTCGCTGGGGAGCGACACCCCTCCGGCTACACCTCCGTCTATGCCCCTGCGTGTTCGAGCTGCCCTGCGGCCTGTCCCGGGTCAGTCGGCCAGGGTGACTTCACACGGCCACCACCACCACCCAGGCCCAGGCCTTCGAGCTGCAAACCCGGGCTGGAGAACCTGCACCCTGGGGCAGCGATCACAGCATTCAGATGCACACAAAAAGAGTCCAAGCGCGTTTCGAATATCCCTTTCTGCTTTGCCCCCAAATCTTACTCTGATTTAAAGAATGTACTAAGGCCAGAATCAAAGGCGGACAGGCTTTCTGGCCAATTTGGGGGGAGAAGGAGTGGCCGATGTCTCTTCCCACCTTCCGACTACCTCTCTACCCCCGAAAAACCAGCGCCGAGGAGCTCGGAGTTTCGGGGATCGCAGGAATGAGCAAGGAGAGGGAAGAACAAAGCCCTACCTGCCGGGGCTTGAGCTTCCTTGAGAACCCGCGCGCGCTCCCCTGGGCGTCCCCAGAGCTTCCGCGGCGACTAAGCTTCTAGCGGCCACTGCGCCGGCCGCCTCCGAGTCCCCTCGCTCGCCGACGCGTCCCGGGCCCTGTGCTCCGCTCGCGGGCGCTGACTGGCCGGTGCCGGTCACGTGCAAGGGCAGGGGCGGGAGTGCGCGGCCCAGGCTGCACCTCTGCGGGGCGCCGGGCTGCAGGGCTGTTCCAAAAGCTCCCCCAGCAGGCAAAGTCCAGGCTCCGGGACCGCCTGGGAAAACGCCTGGGTGTTCACCCACCGCCCAGCCTGAGGGCGATTGGGTTTGCGGTTTTGCCTAGGCTCGGCTTTACTGAGCTCCCTCTCTCCTTCCCCGCCCCGCCCCCGTGGGCCCCGTCCAGCCGCGGTGGGCGAGGGGCGGAGCTAATAGTGGGGAATGTGACCTCTTGGGCTCCACTCCCGATCGCGTGCGGGGCACTGGGTCACCCCGGGTGCCGGGTTGGCCGCAGGTTTCCCCGCGGGAGTAGTCGGGACCCGCTCAAGCCCCGACTCCGGGGAGGTTCAGGAGACGCTTAGATTGGTTGCTAAAATCCGAGCGTGGAGACCGAAACCGGCCTATTGCCTTCCCAGCACCCAGGCAGCCGGCAAGGCGCCCAGAGCCCCGGCTTCAACCTTCAGTTTTGTGTATTTGGGCAAAACGTGCACCCCTTCCTGGCGATGCTTCCCGTCTCCCGCGGCCGCTTCCCCTCTAATCTTTCCCGGTTTTCTCCGCAGCCTGCGGCGGCCGCTGCAGCAACCCACGAGGGTCGGGGAGCCCGCAGCCCAGGGGAGCCTCTCGGCGGAGAGGGCTCTTCCGGGGGCTGCAGTCCCCTCCCTGCGGTGAGGGCCGGAGGGTGTCCGGCCTGAGCTGGGAGTTGGCGTCAGTGCCTGGAGGCCCCAGCGCGGCGGGACCGCGAACCCGAGAGCACCTCAGACAGGTCTAAAGGTTAATAGAGCAATCACAGGGCCCTATCACCGCGTAAAAATAACCCATCGATTACCGCAGCCTTCAGCCCCAGATAACAGCCGGCGGGTGGCTCTCGCTCTTTCGGTTAAACTTTTTTTTTTTTTTTTTGAAGGCCGCGTTTCTCTCCTGAGCACAGGTTTCTCATACCAGATTAGAGGGATGGGGAGGGGGCCGGGATACCACCCTGCGCGAAACTCGTGCCGATCGGAAAGAAGGGAGGGACACCAGCTTCCGCGGTCGGAAAGCAGTCGTGGATTCCCGGGCTGCGCGAGGCCAACCCGGGCGCGAAGGATGAGGCCGGGACGCGGGTCTGATTGGAAGGAAACCCCCCATGGGATCGTGGCCAGCTCCTGGGGATTCTCAGGAAAATCCCGGAGGAAGAACTGAGCGCGGCTGCGCGGGGAATTCTCTTCTCCGAACGAGGGGTGCGGAGGTCCAGAGGGGCCCACGCAGAGCAGAGAAAACAGGCGGCGCGGGGCGCGGAGAGACTGGAGGACTGCGCGCCCGCTGGACCACCGAAGCCGCCCCAGACTGCCGCCCGCTTGCGCCCCTGGACGCCCGGAAGCTGGCGGCCTGCGTGCTTAGGGTTCCTTCTCCCGCCTCCCCCAAATCCTAGCCTTCGCCTTAGCAGAATTTGGCACCGCAGACCTAAAGCCCGGGACTTTAAGAGCGAGGGAGTTCTGGGGATCCCAGGGGCCGGGCGCTGGGGAAAAGCACCCTCCAATCTGAGCACCTTCAGACGCAGCGGGGAGGAATGTGACCCCTGCGCTGTTTAAAACGGGTCCTGGACCACCCTGGGGTGAGCGAGAGAGGCACAAAGCCAAGGCCTGCTCAGGGGCCCGCAGGGCTTTCTGGAGAATTGAAAGTCTGGGTTTGGGCGAGTGGGAAGCTGCCCCGGCCTCCTTTTCCCCGCGGGGATTTGTGCCAGCGTTGCCCGGGGTCCCAGAGCTGCCTCCCACGCGCGACCCTCAGAGGATGAAAAGGGCTGAGTCTGGCGACCAGGCACTGGATTTCTCAGCAACAAGCCAGGGGATTGGGGCTTCGCGTCTGGCGAGGCGGCCATCTGAGAGTCCTCCCCATAGCCAAGGCCACAGGCCGCTCCCACGCGGGCTCCTTCTAGCAGTGCGCGTGGGCCGCAGCGCGAGGTGCGGGACCCTGCGGCGAGCCTGCGCTCCCCACACACCCCCGCCTCCCTGAACCTCAGTCTCCTCCTCTGTACACTGGCGGGCCCATATCAGGTTCTGCTCCATGCGGCTGTTTTGAGACCCCTGGGTGGAAGAGCCTGCTTGTACTAGGAGCTTGCTAGGGAGGATCCTAGGCTCCCTGGGTTGCCGCTCCAGCCAGGCCAGCAAGGAAGGTCCTTCACCCAGGCTTCCCGCTGGCGCTCTCCGGGTGGGCTGAAACCTGCCCGGGAATATTCGCTCCCTCTGGAAGGCGTCTGGGACAGAGAAAATTGTGTTTCCTGTGGCTTATTTCTCTGGGCCCAGCGCCCCCATCTTTCTCCCCAAGGCCTGGGCTCAAGGACGCACCAGGGGTTGTTGGCAAACAGCCCGCTCTCTTGGGGAGTTTTCTTTTCCCTCGCTCCTTCCCTCCCTCCCTCACAGCGGTCCTCCCTGGGCCAGCCGGGGAGCCGAGACTGCCCCGCGTTGCCAGGAGCGGGGAGCATTTCAAGGCCTCGCTGGCCGCCGGCTGGAGGAGGTTTATCCGCCGCCTCTGCGGGTTCCCAGGCTTCTCCCTCGCTCGGGAGGCCGCGGAAGGGGCGAGTGGGTTGGTGCTCCGTGGTTCAGACTCTTGGCTATTTTTAAGGAGGATGTCCCTGGGCTGGCCTGGGGAGGGTGGCCCAACCCCATTCACGTTCTCTTTCGGCTTTCCTTTCCCATAACCTACTGGGAGAATTTAACGCTGTGAACGTCTGTGGCTGCTTTTACTAAGGGCCTGTGTCTAAGGACCCTGCGTCAAGTCGTGAGATTTTAGACAAGTAAGAATTACTCAGATGTACTATACTCTTAAAAAACAAAATCTCCAGGACACAAGAATAAATTGCGTGTCCCTGTTCCCTTAAGGCTCCTGGGACTTGAGACGGCCCATCCCCAGCAGGGAAAAATTGTAGGCTGCATATGGGGTACAGAGGGATCTGAACTCTGGCTTCCCCCAAAATACATATAAATAAATAAACGGCGGGTGCCGGAATTCACAGAGAAACCAGCGAGGGTCTCCCAGTGCCGGGTTCCCGCGATTTTCCAGTGGGACACAGGCGGGTTCGCTTTCAACCAGGCGCAAGACCTGGACCACAGTCTTGGCCGCCGCACCAGGAACAAAAACAATGCCTGAAAAAATCTGGGGGCCCCAAGGTCGCCAGAGTCTTATAAACGGAAACCAGAAACCCCCAGAGAGAAAAAAGGAACCCGAGAGGGGACTACAGAAGTCAACCCGCGTCCTGTGGAAGGAACCACCCCACGACGTAGATGCACCTCTGCCGGGCTGTGCGCAAAGGCTGCAGGAGGGACCGGCACAGCGACCCGCGCTGAACGAATGCCCCGTCTTGTTCCGCGCGGCCTTCTAATTCCCCCTCCGGGCCGGGCGCGGGTGGCACGATTCTCTTCGTTCTGCCACCCGCACCCACGGGGGGCCCGCCCTGCCCCCTGCAAGAGCCCGGTGGGCGAACGGAGACCCGAGGTGCGGAGCCGGCACGTCCCCATCCCCACTGATGGGAAAATGGAGAACGAATTAAGCTGCAAGGCCAAGTAGACCTACCTTCCTTCACTCCCGAGGTCGGTACCTCGACCCCCGCAATTCTTGGGGGAGAGGAAGTGGACATAGAGACCCCGCCCTGTCCCACCGGGAACCGAGTTCTGCACCCCGGTTCGATCTTTGGCCTCCCTCCAATAGACGCGGGGAGAGGAGAGAGCTATGCTTTTTAATTGTCTTGCTTTCAAAAACACTATTCGGTGTTGCAAAGCGAAGCCACCCTCTCCCTGGCAGATCCCCGCAAACGCTTCCTGGAGCTTCTGGCCCCGTTGCCAGCAGTTTGCCAAACAAGCCCTCTTATTTTATAGTCACTTCCAGATTACAGAACGCTCTCAAATTCCATTTTTCTCTAGGGACAAAAACATTGCTATGCAAGAGGGAGGGAGAGAAGGTGCTCCCATCCTCACCTACAAGCAGGCACACGGGACCGGAGAGGTTAGGGTGCTTGAGGTAGGAGGCAAAGCCTGCCAAGGCAGTAGTTCTAGAATCTCGATTTCTGAGTCTTAGTTCTTTTTTTCCGTTTTATTTACTATTGGCCTTTTACTGTGAAATATTTTTTTAACTGTTGTCTCTTTTTAATTTTCTAAATTTCCTTTAATGAGCATGTGTGACATTTAAAATTTAAAATTGTTTTTTAAAAAAACGGTTCGTGTCTTATAATCTAAGAGCCCTTGGGAAGGGAAAGAGGAATGAAAAGGAGTCTCTGAACATTTTTGCTAGGTTCGGGAAGGATGCCAGGCCCTTCTTGAATAGGGAGGGTGCGCTCTTCGGGGTCCCAGGGCAGCTGAGGCCAGGGCAGAGAACGGTGCTGGCGCCCACAAGTCGGGGCACTGCTGCCAGAGGACTGGTGAGCCCTGAGCACCGGGCTCACTATGGCTGTGATGACGCTGTCGCCGTCGTGTATGCCTCTCTTCCCGGTGCCAATCTGGCTTCCTTTCCCCTTTCTCAGCCAAGGACTGCAGCAAAACAGCAGCAAGCAGGAACTACTGACACCCACGGCATCTGGTTCCCTGCAGGCTCTCAGAGGGGCTGTAAGGGGCTCTTCTCTGTGGGACCAAAGCTTAGGGATATCTCTTGGTGACATGGGCCCCAATTCTTTCACTTGTGGGTCCCCCGTTGTCCCCAGTTAGAGACTTTTGAAGTCACAGTGCTGGCAGCCCTGAGCCCAGAGCAAGAGCACCGTTTACATTCTCGGACTAAGTCAAATGTTCATTTACAGCTGGTCCGAAGGTAGTGAGTTATCTCACTTGATTGTTCACAGTCAGTTACAGATCAAACTCCTTGTTCTACAATTTCCCCCTTCTCAC